TGGATTTGACTTGATTCCGCACCAGCGAGGGGAGCAAAAGTGACTCTAGTGTCCCTGACTGATTTACCTCAAAATCATTGTTAAATGTTCAGACTTGTTCTCAAAACTGCTAAGTCTGGGAACTAATTTCTTGTCTCCCATGTTCTAAGCTCCTTGTAATTTACCACTGCTAAAAGGTGGGTGAAGGAGACACTGAGGTATAAAAATACACATCTCTGTCAATGTTGCAAGAAAATAGAGAAAGATTCAGCCTGGAAGAATTTACTGTGATCCTGAGCAGAAAGTACTAAGGAAATAATAAGTTCACATTCGGAGGGCACCTTAGTATCACATTCTAAAGGAAGTCCATTCTAACAACTATTAAAACAAGCAAACATCTAATAGCTATGGGCCATTGAATGAAAGCAGGCACTACTAGATATAACCACTGGGTGACCTTTTCTGCATTTCTCTTTATACCCATCTTCTGTCCATATTTTCACACCTACATATTTCCTTCCAGGCCCTTCTGAAGAGGAAAGCAGAGTGAGAATCTACATGTAATAAGATGTAGAGACAAACAAAGGAGGAGGTGTGGTTGCAGAGGGTTTTGAAATAGTGCAAATGTGCTTTCAGGTGCCTTCAGAAATTCAAGCGTTGAAAATAACTTTCTACTAGAACCTTACAAAGTTTCAGACAGGCCCAGGGTACTTACAGTTTTGGGAATGAAATTCCCTAAGTGAAGAAATTTTTCAGCTTCATCAGAAAAGTTCAGGCATATTTTCAGTGTTCACAATTAAAAATTAAAGTTGAATGTTGAATGTATTCTGTTTCCAAGCCTGTCAGTGTATCACTGGGGAAATGTGTATAACCTCATTTCAAAATAAGGCTAAATTTAGGGCTTTTTATGAATATAAGATATAGCCAATGACTTCTCTTTCCTTTCACTGTCTCCTGTTCATATTCAGAGAGGTCAAACTTTTCTTAGAGAGAAAGAGAAAAGATATGAAAGAGAAATAAAGATAAATAAAAAGGAAAAGGAGGAGGAGGATGAATGAAAATAAGGAAACAATACAAGGTGTGGATAACCCAGGATGGATTTATGCATAGAAAACTTTATAGAAATTAACAAAATAATATTTATTAAGTGACAACTTAAGCCCTTGGTACTGTTGATGGCGTGAAAAAAAAGTATAATTTTTGCTCCTTAGCCTCAAACAGCTTAAAGTAACAGAGAAAAAACAAACATATTTCAGAGGATAGGGCTAAATTCTGTGATACTAATTTGACATACATAGACTTGGGAGAAAAGAGAGATTCATATCGAGTGACCAAGTTTTTCCATTTGTTCAATAGGAAGTAATAATACCACCTATATTGTAGTATTATTGAAGTATTAATAGTAAAGCATTTAACCAAGTGCTTGACAAATAAGCATCAATTAACACAGCTTATTAACTCATTAAAATTTATAAAAAGACATAAAAATCCTTGCTAAATGGGAAAAAGGCTACCATAAGAAATTTTACATAAGAAATACAAAGTATAGCAACTTTGGTATATTATTTATTAGTAACTAAATTATCAATGGGATTAAAAACTACATAATTTTTCAAGGTTATGACCTAATTGGCCATTTTTGTTGTTCGTGATAAAAGTATACACACTCCTTGAGCAAGGAACATAATAAAATTGATTTAAGACGGTCATGTAATTTGATCAAGTCATCCAGGTTTAGCATTTATCTTGAGAAAATATTGACAAGCAGTAGGAGATTTACTGAAATTATAACTCTTTTAGTATAAAACTGGACTCAAAAATCAAATAAAGGGCCGGCCCGGTGGCGCAATGGATAGTGCGCCGCTTGGGAAGCGCGGTGGCGCTCCCACCCGAGGGTTCGGATCCCACATGCAGACCGGTTCCCGCTCACTGGCTAAGCGAGGCGCAGGAGCAACGCCGAGGGTTGCGATCCCGTTGCCGGTCCCCGGTCTGGTACGGGGGCAACACTGAGGGTTGCGATCCGTTGCCGGACACGGAAAAAGACAAAAAAAAAAAAAAAATCAAATAAAAACAAAGGGTAGGAATGATTTGGTACAATGTAACTGATCAACAAGGCGAGATATTCATACGTTATTAAATGTGGTAATTATATAAAATCAATGTTCAACTTGTAAAGTATTTATAATACGAACAAAAACAAAAAACCCCAAAACTTGGAGGAGACATTCACAACATCTAAAATTGACACAGTACTACTATCTAGAATATATTGGCAGTTACCTCAAATTATCTACACACCCCCTCAAAAAAGTGAAAAACGCAATAGAAAATAGTCAAAGTTTGTGAATAGCAATTCTCAGATTGCAGAATCTAAATGACTCGGAATAGATAAAGTGATGCTCAACTGCAATACGAATCAGCAGAAAACAAATAAAAACAACATTGAGGTCATATTCTACACCATCAATTTGGAAAAATTGAGAAAATTGTGTAATGTGTGCTGAAAAGATTATGGGAAATGAGATCCCTTGTGTATTGCACAGTGAACTGGTGTCAACTGGTACACTCATTCAGGAGAAAGTCTGGCACTCAGTGGATTCGTAAATGTGTGTGACTTATCACCAAGAAATCCTGTTCTCCTGGGTGTATTCCCCTGAGAGAATTCCTAACAGGTTCAAAAGAGACATATATGTCTGATTTATTGCAATGTTGTTTGGGATGGAAGGAGTTAGAAACAACTTAGGTGTCCACATCTGGGATACTGGGTAAGTAAAATCTGGTATACATACACAATGATAAAAGGGGCAGCAATTAGAAGAAATAAACAAGTTTTAAATATAGTACCATAGATAGATGTGCAAGCACTAACATTGAATTAAACTAGCAAAAAACGTAATGAGATTTATAACACAAAAATGCATGTGCAATCTAGAACACATTCACATACACACAACTACACACTATTTTTTAAATTCCGCACATACAGCCAAATGCATTTATAAAGAGTGGATTTGATGAATGCACATTAAATACATTAGAGTGGATGTCTACAGGGTATTGAACTGAGGATTGAAGACTGAGAATAAAGTAAAATCAGGTAAGGGTCTTTGCCCAGAATGGTGATAAGACAAGGCCACAAACTGAAGGGTATAATCAACTCAATTCCATGCACCTGGGGTAAAAAAAAGTAAGCTAAAATTTGTGGGGCTTTAAATGAAAGAGACCAAAAGAATGCATAGTGGTATGCAAACTGATTGAAATAAGAATAAAACAATACAAACTAATGTTTATATGAATTTAGACTGTAACAAAAACTGTACACAAACTGATTAAAGTAACAGCAAATAAAATAAATACACGATGGTATACACTGACTGAAACTACCTAAAGATGTGTTCATGTGAGTTGGCTAGAGGGAGGGCCCTGTTCTGCCTCTCTGCTTCCCCTTGACACTACCTTCTAGGACAAAGTGTCACACAGTTGGCTTATGAATGGATCATGGGCGAGGATACTTTACAAAACCACCATGGTGGGAGGTCTCCTTCTTTCCTTGGAATTCCTTCTTTTAGGATCTCCTCCCCTTCCTTGCATGAAGCAAGAGAGTAAGACTGAGTGATGCTGTCAACTTCTCTCTCCTACCAGGCCCCAGTGGAGGGTGGAAGTGGCTAAGTTAGATAGATCCTTGGAAACTCTTTACCCACATGGCTGGTGAGGTAAGAAAGGGTCTTATCTTGGTGAGAGGCATTGCTGTACCCTCCACGCTACTTCCTGAGTTGATAAGGTTGGGATTAGGTCTAGAGCAAAGGAGGCCACTCAAGCTGACTCAGTCAAAGTCAAAGACCCTCCTGTTGCCCTTTCAGAACCTGTCTCACCAAGCCAGGCTCTCCACTGGGGCAGGGACTAGCCCAGTCTCTTAAAGCAGCCTTGCATCTGAACTTGTCTGCTGGGCATCTCTCTCCTGGACCGTTCTTCAAGGCAGGGTGGCTGTGGAGCCACTGCAGAGGTACAGTCTAGGAGAAGATTCAAGGCCCTGTTCACTCTCCCAGAATGAGACACGATATGAGCAGCAAATAGAGATTTTTATGCAAAATTCAAATAGCTATTTTTAGTAAAATTATGAATGATTCTTCTCTATTTTTACTCCTTTTAAATAAATATATACATAATCCATTATAGCCATCCCACAAAAGCATACTTTATTCTCCAGGGATGGCCAGAGTGTCAATCTTGTAATGAATTTTATTACACAATTAACAGGTGTCCCATCGTGTAGCTAATTAGTACATTTATCCTGTATGGTTTTAACAGTGAGCAATAAACTCATGAGTAAATGCTTTGTCTCCCAATTTGAGCATTTTCTACATACCTCTCCAGCATATATATCGCCTACCACAAACAGAAGTGTGTAATGAGACTGATATAAGAAATAGCAAAAATTCTAACATGGAGATGATTACTTCTAAATATCCCATACATGCAACATAACTAGTGTCCTTCTCAACCCTCCTGTCAACCTTTCTTTTCTTTCTTCAAGGTATTTGTTGTTACCTGGGGACTTTTTATTCCCTTTTCAAATTTCTCTCACCTACCCTGTGTTTATGATCTTATTTTTCTTTTATATTCTCCAATGATTTCTATCTTCAGCCACAAACGTAGTTCAAATCCTCTATCCTTCAAAAATTAATCTCCTAACATATCATAGGAAAATTTTGTTCATTTCCTAATCCATTAATCCCAGAAATCAAGATCCATTTCCTTATTTCTTTTCATCTTCTTAAGATTTCAGGTCTCAGGAGGACAAGAAGCACTTTATTTATATATTCTGTGCAGCAATGTAGAATGCAGTATCTTTCTTTGAAAACTATAATTGTATGAAAAATAATGTTGATCATAGCGCTAGCAGAGGGGACTGTTCTAGTCTGGTATCAGAGTCCTTGCTTTCCTAACAATAGCAGTGACACAGTTGAGGATACAGGGAACCAGCATAGTGACATGAAAGCAAGTTAATGAACTTTTATTACCTTAGTTTCTTTCCTCCATCTGCAATTTTAGCTTTTTGAAGATAACCTTCTTTTTCAACCATCTGCAAGAAGAATGCATATGTTAGAACCATGACAAAATCCTATGCATTGTTAGATTGAACGAACCTATGCTTTCAAGAGTCACTGCAGTGATGGAAGTTTCCAGTCATAGAACTTTGTTAATAATGCATGGATAACTTATGGGAAGTGCCTGCAAACTCATAGTCATTACAAGCTTTTAAATATCCAAAAGACAGATTAGGAAGAGGAATGTGAATGATTTGTTAGACAGTGTTACACCTCTATTCACTTTTCTTTCCAAGCATCGAAGTCACTTGCTTGAAAAATCTACTTAAAATGGTAAAACAAAGACAAATGCAATGGCTTCCTTTATTTTACTGATCATCTTTGGAAAAGTTCTTCCTTTTCAACTTCCCTGTGTACCAGCTGAGGCCAGGGAAAAGGAAAAACTCAATGGAAGCAGTTAACTGACCAGGTTGAATCATGGAAAGACATTTAAACAACAACATTTTATGAATTTTGGTCAGTTACCAAGAGACACTGTAGTAGCAGTATCTCACTGTCTTCTTCTATGATGTGGGATTGCTTACCTTTACTATTTGTATGAACTTATATTAGTTTTCATTGCTAATGCAGCCACAAGTTTCTTTTGGGAGATTCAGTCAGTACTTTATAACTCCACAGAAGTGTTTGTGGAGTTCCAGGCAAAATAAATGTACAATACAAATTGTGATGTGTTGACTCCTAGCAAAGTCCAAAGTAGGTGTTTTAATTTCTTAGTGCCCTATTTTGACACTTCTCAGTCTGCCCCACATGTCCCATCCTAAGTCTTTAGCTTGTGTACCATCTTTTCACTTTTACTAAATTGCCAACACTTTTTTCCTCCACACTACTTGCCAAAATCTTTAAGAAGTCACCTGCCTAATATGAGAGGACCACAGTTCTTCAATGCTACCCTATATGCTTTCCCCAGTCTGTAATACTCCAGATCTACTGTGTCTTTATCTCACAAACTCCTAAATATACTAAATAAAATCCAATTTGTGTCTTTTATTAGAGGGTCTTTCCATGATTCCTCTGCAATCTCTTTTACACAACTCTGTGCTGAATCTCCACTATCATACTGCCATTATCACTATGATAGCACTAGTCAGATCATATTGTAATTGTCTGCATATTTGCTTGTTCCTGCACCTGTGCTGTGAGCCCATTAAAGGCAACAGACTGCACCTTTCACACCTGGATTCCCAGCTGCTAGAGTACTTGCTGGCACCAATACTCATAACAAAAATATTCTTTGAACAAATGAGTAAATGAACGAATGAATGGATATTTAGGTGTTTATTTAAATATTTACAGGAAACTGGATAAGCCAAAAAAAATTATCTTCAGTACAACAGGTGAAAGAAAGAGATATTTGGGGGTAAATGAGTTGTCCTAAACCACTAAAATCTCAGCAGCTGAAGAACCACCTGTTTACAGGATGTACTTTAATACAGGTGAGGTCTTTGTTGTCTTGATCATTGTTACATTCTTAATACATAGCACAGTAGTTAACTTACAAAGTATATTTGATGAATACATTTTCAGCTGAATAAATAATGATGAAGATAATAATGATGATGATTTATGACAATCATAGCAAAGTATTTTTCACACATCTATGTTTCTAGAAAATTCTTTTACTTCAGCATGTCCTCCACAAGTCTAAAAGAGTCAAAGGAAACTTTCTTGGATAATTTTTAGAATAATAGAGTTCAATGGTGCCTCTTTTTTTTTTAGATTTAGATACATCTATTTATCTGAATTTCCCACCTTTTATGCTGTGTATACTGTCCCTTTTTCTTGGTGCCAGGGAATTTTATTTGTCTACTCCTTAAATCCTACGTAATAAGTTCAATGTTTAACTCTGGGCATCACTGGTTTCTATAAATGTTTGGAAGACAGATGTTTTCAGTAGTAATTAGCATTACAGAGGAGGTCTCTTTCTTTAGAAATGTATCTTGAGAAATTTTGTTGTGTAACCATAGACAAAATTTATTGTTTTACTTAAGCTTTCTTCTGATGGAAATGAAAGTTACCAAAAACCTGAATTTATCTATGAAAAAGCTACAAAACATGTCAACCCATTATAAAAATTGATGCATGTATTCTCAGCTAAGAATGTTGCCTTTTTCCCCAAAAAACATAAGGGTACTTCAAAAAGTTTATGGGAAAATGAAATTAAAAGATAATTATGAATATTTCTGTGAACTTTTTGAATAATCAGGAAATTCACTAAAAGATCCCTGGGTGGACATTTGGTACCCACAGAGATGTATTATTGATGACTATTTCTCTAAAAGGAGAAGAAAAATGTGAAAGGAAAAGCTCACACTCTCACAGAGAGAAATCAACGTGAACAGGCTTGAAATATTTACCATGAAACTCTCTCTCCTTGAACACATAGATAATGTTCCCCCAACACTGCTGGACCTTTCCCAGGATACCTGAGATTGAGGCCAAAAGCTGGATTTCTCACACTTGGACTCTATAAAATGTGACATCATTACCATCAATGGCTGAGCCAGTTCCTGTGAACTTGGGTCAATGCAATAGGGTTTCCAGGGATGACCACACAGAGGTCCCAGGAGGAAGAGCAAGTTAGTTATCTTCTTCTACATCATCTTCCAAAGTTCAAACTGCCTTCCAGTTCATTAGAGGAAGCTAATTCCCTTCTGCTATGTGCTATTACCTACTATATTTTCTACTACCACACATACTTTTACATATGTACATATGTCTGCACGCACATTTCTAGGATCAGGTGTTCATTTCTCTCCATTGTCTCTTTCATACTTGATGTACACTAATTCATTATTTCAATAAATTTTTAGTTAGCAATATCCCTTCCCCTAAATGCCAGCTGCTCTGCTTACAGTGGGACTGAAAAGATTAACAGGACAATCTTAATCTTAATCTTATTGATACTTAAACCTCTGTGAGCTCACATTCAAGATACTTCTGTTCCTCTGTTTTGGGGACTGGATACCATACTTCCCTCCAGCCATTTCAGAGACTCAGGCCAACTCTTGGTCTATAGTAGAACACCTCTACTAGGCTTCCTGATTGTTTCAGGTCCCATGCTGGCAAGCAAAGCTTCCACGAGGTAGAAATAATTCCTCATCGTCATACTTTGAAATACTTCACCATGTGCCAAGCACCAGGAATCAGTTATTCTGGGGAGCTCCTAGTGAGCTGAAAGAAGTATTAGGGCAAACAGAAAATTACTGTGCATTTTGCATGTGGATTTATATATGGTATCTTATTAATCATTGTAATTAATTACTCCTACTTTATGTTAATTCCATGGTTTGAAGCGACAATCATCTATAAAATTACAGTTGACCATGTTGGTCATCTAGGGCTCAGATGGTCTTGTCTCTGGTAATTTACAAAATTTCATATAGCTTTAGGTCTAAGTTTAGGATTCTACATGCCAAATTCTAGGGCATAAAAGTCCTTTAAAGCAGTAGCACTTCCTTAACTATGTATACTTAAGAAATGTCAACCAATCTTTAGATAATAAATCTGGCTTCTTGAGCTATTTGTCCAATATCACGTAGAAGCACTATTTAACATTAAATGGCTGGAAAGATCAGCAATTTGTCCAGATTGGATGCCAGCCGGTCTGCCAGCACCGAGGAAGTGCTCAGCAGACACATCCGTGCTGAGATACAGATGAGAAGAATGAACGGCAGTGGGACACCCGGATAGCACCTGTTTATCAACTTATGTTGCAGGCGACAGACAAGGCAGGGGAGCAGAAGTCAGCCTTTGATTAATGGGAACAATTGTGGCAGTAAGACTAGCTTGTAACCCTATGCACAGACACTGCAATTTCTTATTTGAAGGCTACAATGTACGTTGTTCTCAGATACAATTACAAACAATAGGTTTTCTTCAACACCAGTGCACCAGAGAGTTCTGTTAAAATATGTGTTAATAAATGGAAATGGGCTGACCTGGAGACGTTCACCAGATTCTGATGAGAAGGGTTTGGTTTTCAGCACCAGAACCATATAACCCTTATACTTATAATATTTGCTCAGCTGATGTATTTAAGTTATTGCTCTCTTCCCCTTTGCTCTGATTGTGTTCACTGACAACCATCTGACTGCTAATTCAGCTTCCTAGGTCCTTTGATGTAGAAAATGGGTGATTTAAATAGCCAACATCAGAATATTCCCCATTATATACCGTGATGTGGTCCCAAGGGACCATCATCTCTGTAAACACACATAATATTCATAAATATTATTTTCCTGGATCCACAAACCTGAGAAAGGCACCAGACTTAAACCTGGGAGGTCCCGCTGAAGTAGTGCCACCCTGTGAAACCTTCTGTATGACTGCCTGACCTTCATGGAAGAGAACTCTGCATCGTCTCTCTGTAACTACAACCCTAGGCCACTCTCATTTTCAAACAGATTTAGCATTTAATTATTCTCCGATTTAACAATGAGACAGCTGCTATACTTTCTCTGATCTTTTAACAGGTCACAGTACTTTGCTGGTAGTCTTGTTTGTTTGATGATTTCTATTTAAAAGCACAGAATGAGAACACATTGGGTTACATCATTTTACCCCCAAATGACACTTCTCTTTCCTTCTTAAAGATCTTTTTCACTTCTCCACTACCCACAGAAATAGATATTTCTGTCTTTCTACTTTCCATTGTTCTCCTTTTCTTGACATTGTCTCCAGGTTGTATCCTTTTCCTCTTTGGGACTCATTGCTCATGTTTCCTTCTTAGTATCCAATTGCTTCTCTACTGGTCCTGCCTTTCCTGCTATATTTGATCTGCTGACCTTGTATATGGACTTGCAGTAGATGCGATCCATTAGGAACAGAAATAAAAGCAGGGGGGAAAACACCTCAAAACTAAGGCTTATCTGTATATAATATAAAGTACTAATAGTTTTTTTAAGGCCTAATTTTATAACTCCTTTACATGTAACTCAAGAATGAAATATGCTTTGAGAGACATGCAATATGATGT